TGGGGTTCCTGTTTTCGACTGCACTGGTAACAATAATAGTGGGAACCTTTGTCATTTTTTCACTGCTTAATGCCTTTTCAGAAGATTTTTCTTTCTTGTATGACTTAGTACCACGAGTAACTGTATTGAAGCCAAATATGACTCTGAGTTGCAGATTTTTCTTTGTCTCGTCTTGTTATTGGAGCCTTTGCTTTCTTTCTTTACAGCGTCATTGTGTTAGTAAGATGGTGTTATTAAAATAGAATATAGACTTAGAAAATAAAACGATTTCTCAGACGAAGTCTTGACTGATAATAATGCTGACGATGGACGTTAGATTAATATGCATTGTTTGCGACAGAAAGCTTGTCACCCGTTCTATCAGAATCGTCAACAACAGAGTATTACCGGTACTATACATATACATGGTATAAACATTATGCAAATATTAACGAAACGGTAAAATTTCGAAAATCTGGGATGATGAATCAAGGTACAAAGTAACCGTTTTAACAATTATTGAAAAATCAAGATAAAAAAAAAAAATTTCCTTCCCGCTACATTAAGATCAATATGGACCACCGAAATTTGGCGTTCATTTAAAAAAATAAACCATAATTTTCATTAATACTGACTTCGAAAATTATGATACAAAAATATTTCCATTCATACCACAACCAACGCCGTTTTTGTTTACTTTTCACAACTGTTACAAAGTATTTCATTTCTGGTTAAAATACCAGCTAATCGATCGTAGACCACAAGTTTGGAGTCCGTTTATGATCTAAACGAAGGCAGACGATTGCAAACAACTGCTGTCATGGCAAAACGTTGCACATCGTGAATGATTTTTTTTTTTCACTGCATGCAAGTCAAAGCAGACGTACAACATTCGTTGCAGAATGCGTGAAAAGTACTTCGCGTTCCACTCGCTTTGAAGCTGCCGTCTATGCTAATGAGCATAGTCGTCAGGACGAAGCCTTACACCTCCAAGATGGCGATAACGTTACACCGTAAACAGGCAGTCAAAACCAACGTGCACGTTAAAAGTATTTAATTTTTTTAGCCAGCGGTGTGATGTGTCTAATCACCGTAAACCATGTGTCATTTGTTTGGTCCTACAATTTGTCTTCCATGTGCTTGCCGATCACCGAACAGTGCGGCATGTCGCCGGTACATAGTGTTTACACATTTTTTTTACCGTACCATTTTTACCATTTAAAACTTGCATGTAAATGCAGTGAACATCGACCATTGGGATTCGCGCTGTTCGACCCACCAACCAATAGGAATCGTGCTCTTCGCAGAGTGACACTGCGATTCTGTCGCTGAGTGCAATAATCGACATTCGCGACACTCGCATCGCAGAGTTAGTTTTTAGACCCCCCATACATACATGCTTCCTGGTATTCAATATACTTTGCTAAAAATGTTTTTCTTGTCCCCAAAGTACAACATACTTTAATAAAGCCACGTAATTTCCCCTAATGCAACACCCACTCTATTAAACTCTCATGGTATTGCAGGAGACGATGTTTGTACCAGTATCATTCAGACTCGGCAGTCTCAGAATCTGAAGTTTATTTTTTTCTGATGGGCTTTTAAAATTGCAATCAGGGGTTTCAAATGCATTGGTGTTTCTTAAGTAAATTAGACCATTGAGGTGTTTCCTGGGCAACAGCTCCTGTTTGGCAATTTTATTAGTACCAATAACAGTATCTGGTTTATGTCCATATTTGGATTTAACAACTTTTTCTCCCATATCAGAGCTGTATGCATCAACCACTAACATCTTTGCCTGTTTAATGGTTCTATTTTCCTTTCTTCTGGTATTCCTCCTTATATTTTCTTTCTTTCTACGTTTTGTTCGTACTCGTTCTGTTGATGCAACACGAGTGTTATGGAAGCGAGGCGTCAGTTGTTGAAGATTGGGGGTTAGGTCATTTTCTTGACTTGACTTGAGAATGTGCTTACTTTTTGACAGACTCTCTGTGCTTTCCCAACATCATGGACGGAAACCCCATGAGGGATACATGTGTATCTCAGCATATTTAAGTATTTAATATGGCCACATATCATTGTAAATGCATGATCACAGATATGATGCATGTATTCTTTATGGAATGTAAACATCTTGGAAAACTGGGTATTTGAGGGGGGTCAAATAATAGGTGGTTGGTTGGGGGGGGGGGCTGCCAATTTTTTATGCAGCAAGTTTGGAGGGCTGTGAAAAAAAAGTAAAACAAAATAATTTCTCACCCCCTGCCATAAATTCTGCTCACACCCTTACCAATACATTATTTCACATGAATTCTGAAAGTGGGGATATATAATGCACTGAGCCATAATTAGGATGCAGAGTTATTGGAGAACCAGAATTGTAATTGTATATTACAGAGTATGACATGGTAGAATTTTAACTGGTACTGTTGGGGCGATTTATTTTTTAATTTATAAATCAGTCCCTATGGAGGAACTGTGTTTAAACTAATAAAAAAAATGGAGGTGTTAACGCGAAATTCCCGGTTACTACGAAATCAACCCAGATTTCGCAAAACTATTTTTTTTTTCAAAAAAAATACCACAGCTGGGCCAGTCTAGGTAAGAGTGTGTACAAATCTTTTGTGAAGTATGCAGTCACTTGGCTGGTGTGGCTTGTTAGCTTGTGTATATATCTGGTAGTGTCGCTGAACGCCACTTACATAAAACGTAAATTGACCTCACTGTGATGACGCATTGGTTATGCAATATGGAAAAGGGGACCAAAGCATGCGCATTGCGTACACAATATGCTAATGACCTTTAACAAGGGTATGACGTTGACATCACTAATGAATATTATTTGAAAGTGAAATTATTAATAGAAAGCATTTATTATGAAATGCTGGAAACACCGTGAGGTATATTCAGTCTTGACCCCCACTCAGTCTATTGTGGTAATTTGAAGACTGTATGCATCTTCTATCATACGAAACTGTCACCAAATTTAACAACTGTTTCTAGCCTTTACACTGTAGTCTGAATTAGCAAGCCTCAATAGGTTTTGATTGTATACAGCGCCACCAGTGGCTGTTCCATGCGTCAAGGAACTAGGGGGCTGCTAACATTTGATTGACATCTGCATGATCCCTTCCATTCTTTTACATTATTCAGCAATTGTGATATTTTGTTTGATCTTCACCCAAGACTCATTGTTTTCCTTCAGCCTAATCCCAGTATTTAAATTCCAAGCCCCTTACAACTGCTTGAACTAATGCAACTATAACGTAATAAAGCAATGTCCTTTATTATTTCATTGAATATTGATTGAAGTTAGTGTGAGATGTAAACATGGAGTATTAGTAGTATGAGTTGGGTCGTAGCTCACTTTTGTTTGGGTTAAATAATCTCCACAAATGCAACAAAACATATGCAAGTTATTTTTGTGCTTACTCTGCATATTTCTGTAATTATGAACCAAACAAAAATAGAGATACTGTAAAATGACTAATTTTCACTGGGTTTAAATTTCCCTGATTTACCATTTCAGGCATATTCAGTGGGTTTTAAATTCACGGTTTCGTCATTTAGATAATGTGTTCTATGCTAAATTTTACATATTCACTGTGTTTTAATTTAGCGCATTTTGCCAGTCAGCGAAATAAGCTAAATTAAAACCCAGTGAATAATTACCCCCTTTACAGTAGCTCAAATTTATTAAAATATCAGCTTCCTACTGAATATTCAATGACTTCAATTACTTAGTTTCGTAAGCATATCAAGTTTTCAAATGCATTGTCCACAAAAACTTCGAAGTGCCCACACAAAGGAACACTACCGACACGAACATTGCCATTTGACCTTTATAGAAAAATTTTCACATATCCTGGGAAAATTCAAAATGATGAAATACTACTACCAGTATAAAGTTAATCATTAGGTATATACATTCATAAATGACATAGATAAAAGTAGGATATATTAAACACACCCCAAAATTGGTCGATTTGAAAAGAAATGACGACGATTGAAAGGTCAAAACACAAAGATTTCATTCTCGGTTTGATCAAAAAGTATGCGCTAGTGCGTTTGGAACTCGAATGACATTATGAAGACACGAACCAGGTGAATGCGTTTGCATTTGGGAATCTTCAAGTTAACGTGTGTCAATAAAATACCAGCAAAGTCTGCCGAAGTATGCATCCTACAAGCGCAGTCCCAAATTCATACCTACAACAATAGGCGTTGCTAGTCTTGTCTATAGTAGTCTGAGCTGATATAAAGATGAGGGAAATGAAACTATTACATTTTTAGATGAGGCAGTAAAATAAAAAATTGTAAATACAGCTTTCATTCAAATATCTAATAATTTAAGATTATCATAATGCATGTGTAAGCCTTCACGTGACATACTGGTAGTGACTGCCACTAGTTGCCACATGCTGATTGAACAACTAACTCATTAATATTAATTAGAACTAACTACGATGTCACAATCCCATTTTTAATTTGATCAATTTGAATTCTACCAATAACATCGATTTTGATGTTTAAAATCTATATTCATAAAATGTTTATAACAAAGCCAGCTTTCTGCATTTCACTGTAATGAATCTGACAAAATAAGTAACTGTATATTGATATTGCTTATTGTCTGCAGTGAGTTGATGTATGAACTAAGAAAACTACAACACGGAGACAAACCTGTCACTGGTAAAGGAGCAAGAGAGACAGTGGAAAACTTCTTGCAAGAGAGCTTGCGTCCCGCAGCTGAACGTCGACCAAGAGAGCGTAAACCAGATGATCCTATGGTGCTTGAAGTTCGAGGCTTGTTTGAGCAAAAGAGGGTGTCTTCAGTTTTGCAAAGTAGTGACTTCAAGCGTGATTTGGAAAATGCCATCCGTGGGACTATTGTCAGACAGGAGAAGGAAGCAGATAAAGCAAGACGAAATCAAGAACTGGCAGCTGCAGCCATTGATGATAACTGGGACACGCTGAGTCAGTCGAGTTACAGCAGTGCTGTTAGTTCTCACTCTTCATTTGAGCAGAATCCATGGCAACCTTTTCCATCCCAGTTCATGCACCCCTCGTTTGTGCCCGCAATGCAGGGTCCTCAATACCTCCCACTAGCTGGAGATATGCAGCAGCATATGCCACCTCAGCACAATGTGACACAGCATATGCCACCTCAACCGTATATGTCACCACAGCAGCATATGCCACCTCAGCACAATGTGACACAGCATATGCCACCTCAACCGTATATGTCACCACAGCAGCATATGCCACCTCAGCACAATGTGACACAGCATATGTCACTACAGCAGCATATGCCACCTCATCCATATATGTCACCACAGCAGCACATGCCACCACAGCAGCATATGCCACCTCATCCATATATGCCACATCAGCGGCATATTGCATCTCAACAACAACAGCAGCAATGGATGACACCCCAAATGTCAACACCACAACACTCTATGTCGTCATATCATGGTCTGTCACAACCAAGGCAAGCAATACAACATCAAATTCCATCACAACATATGCCACCACAGACGTCACCACTGCTAAGACAGTCACTATGGCAACAATCACAGAATCGCATACAGTCTGTACAACGGTAAGTCAACTTACTTATTTATTTATTTATTTATTTATGGCTTTCAATCATATCAGCAATATCCTAATTTGGCAGTTATGAATGTTATTTTAACGTAATAGCATCAGTCATCACACAGCCTCACATGAGTTCTATGTGATGCACACATGTGTAAAAATAATATTGTGTATTTACAAGAATTCCTAATGTGTGTTGCAGTCTGTCTTGCCTTCCAAACATATATTTAGTTTGGGAGACTGGTTCACACACCAGAAATTAGCACCCCAAAACACAAAACAATTCAGGAGACAACAGTGACTTAAATGTCTGTAACTGTTGCATGTACAGAGATAAATTCCAAGTAAACATACTGGTATGCTAAAAATTGGAGCATGCATTCTGCAACTTGAGCAGGAATGAATTTCTGAAGTGAAGATGCATGCATGGCTCGCCTGATATAATTCCTAATAAATAGCATACAAAGTGAACAATTTATTTTTCAACTTAAGTTCAAAATTAAATCATCTCAGTACACAATGTTTGTTTTACATTTACTCTAATCAAATGTTTGTTCTTTGTAGTGGCCAGCAACAAACTGGCAGTTCCTTTGAAGCCTTCCGACAAGCACAGAGAGAGGAATTTGTGCATGAGATTAGCGATCTTGTACACAGACGGCTGGTATCTCAAACACTGGACAGTGATTTCAGGGGACATTTAGAGATACGTATGCAGGTAAATGTAATAGAAAATTATAAGTCAGGAAAATCAGTGAACTATTTATGGTCATCCTCAAAACGTGGTTGTCGTCATGCAGCACATTCAACAATTTTACACACATTATGTTGCTATGGAAACCTATATTGAACTTAACATCACAACCATTTACCGCAGGGTGTCACAGTTCATCATAAATGTCCTTTAGATTAGATTTATTTCACCAGAAAAAAGAGACAATTGTACAGGAACTTTATCTGAATGAATATTAAATATATATATTTTTTCTGGTGGGAACCAGAGAGGTAGTTCTAGCAGAACTAATCTAGTCCCTGGCCCCAAAATCATACCCAACTGTTAAAATGTATGTTGTTGTGAATAGTGATACACAAAACAAATTATATTGTTATGTTAAAAATAAATAAATAAATACATAATTAAGTAAAGTAAGTAAAGAGACTACAAACTCTCATTAATAATAATAATGAAGAAAACAAAAATAGACAATACTAATGCATATATTGCAATAATGCAAGTATTTATACATTAGTTAAAAGATATTTTTTTAATGCCGTTTTGAACGTGTTTCGTAAAGTTAATGTTTTTAACGAAGTTGGGAGCTCATTCCAATGTTTTACAAGAGTAAATGTCAGACTTTTCTTAGTTGAACTTACATTTGTGGTGTGACAAGTTTCTCAGAGGTTACTGATCGTGTATGGTATGGATGTGGTATTGAAGAGGCGTAATGATCCAGAGAGTGTGCATGGCGGCCATTTTTCAAATCGTATGCATTGTACTTACATAATTTAAACACATCAAGAATGCCAAGTTGCAGGAAAAGTGGTGTGGTACTTGCTCAGAAATGAGAGAAAGAAATTAATCCGACAGACTTTTTTTGTAATTTAAAAATTGGATCAATATATGTGCTAAAAGTGTGTACTTGTGAACCTGACAATAATTTGAGAGGGGGAATTGTAACGCTGACCAACCGTCGGCTTTCGTTTTCCGATACGATACATCTATGTCCGACATGGTGATGTTTTTGTCCGCGATCTGAGCGATTTTCAGAGCTATTGCATCTGTATTTTCACTTTCTGTTTGTGGCACACCACTAATGACAATGTTTTCTCTTCTTATATACTGATCTAACTCGTTATTTCAGGACTCTGTTCTCTTCAACAAGTAATTGGTTAGCAGCCTGCACTTCCTCTAGTTTCTTTCTGTTTTCTTCAAACAAAGCTTTAATAAATTGCATAGATGTTTCTACCTTTTCAAGTTTTGCCTCCAAGGCACCCATTTTCTCCAACTTTTCATTAATTCCACGTATTTCCTGTAGAATTGTTAGTATATTGGCTTCACTGTTGTTACCATCACCTGTTGCAGTGGTATTCACCACCGTGCCTGTCATTGCCGAGTGACCATCGTGCTGGAAATGTTTCTTTTTGCATTTTTCACACAATTGCAAATCACATTGGCACAAATGCACTCCCCGTTTTATATTACAGTCGTCGCACTTCATTCTTTAGTGGATAATGATATAGTATGACAAATTTGAGGTAGTTTTCCCGTGAAAATCTCAAGAGCGCAAAATTGGCTGTTCACAAATGCGCAGAACTTACTTAATTATGAGAATTTATTGGTTTGCGGTAGCTTCAATTATTTTATACAAAGATGAATTTTTCTAACACTCTTTTTGAAGTTTTTGAACTGAACTGTTATTTTGATGAATTCTGTTTTCATAGAATCATCTTGCCGAGTCTACAGGCACTGAGACTGGCTCCCAAGTGGCAGATTTTATTCAATCTTTACATTCAAGTACTCCACATAGAAGGAATGATTTCAGTCATCTTGGTATCCATTCACCAGACACTGATAACATTGCTGCAGCTGCACAGGTATGTTTACAATATGTCAGTCTTGAATACAAATTAGTCATAATTGATCACACCCCCTAATGTGATCATTTGGTTTTCAAATTCCACTACACAAGCCTTGGTAACCATGGTTACATTTATGCAGTTTTGTTTTTGCTGAAATGAGAGATAGATCTGCACACCAATTGTGCCTACTGTATATTAAATGAAAAAAACAACACAATGTACAAAATAGGTCAATGTACAAGTTGTTTAAAGCTTTTGAACAAATTTCCCCATATACCAAATGGCAATAATGTATAATGGCCGTTAATAGGACAAATGTATTGTAGTGAATCCTAGAATATATATTTTGAGCCAGACAATGTTGATACCTTTGGATTATCAGCATTGAAGAATAGTAACCACTCCCTGTCTGATACATGACAGCATTAACAGTTGGTTGGAATGCTAACAATATGTTTTTGTAATCCTTTCTAGGGCAACATGAATCCTAACTTTGTATCTCTGAAACAAGAATTAGAAGAACTAAAATCAATGGTTAGAATGAATTTTGAGATGCAGTTAGATATCCAAAGAGCTATTAGGCAAGAAGTTGCAGCAGCTTTATCGACTATTGCAGGTAAGAACACTGAATTTAACTCCCTAGTTCCTATGACAAATTAAAAATGTATTTCCACCAAAAATAAATCAGAACTCATCACACATCCAACGCTGCTATTATAACAAGCACAAGCTTGTAACTTAAACCAAATATTGTATACGACCTTTTTCTTTGCTTTATGGATATTGTGGAAATAAACTTGTATGGTAATCCAAATGACTTACACTGAAAATAGCGTGTAAACAGATCTGTGTCACTGCATATTATCTTGTTTTTGACTCCCGTGTGCGAAGCACAAAAGGGAGTCTTTGCAGTTACCCTGTCTGTATGTCTGTAGTAGTAGTAGTAGTAGTAATGCCTTTATTGAAATCATATCCTGTTCAGGATCTGGATTTTTAAAATACAATAAAGTTTCAAATACATATAGAATGGCAAGACGAAAAATACAAATGAAGACAATGTATGTCTGTATGTATGTATGTCACTTTTTTTGTTCCACTGTTATCTCAAGAACCACTAATCAAATTTTGGTGAAACTTGGTACATAGATGCTCTGGGATAATGCGCAGAGTTGATTAGGTTTTGGTAAAAATCTATGAATATTAATTACCTAATTTGCATGATAATTAGCTGATTTTTAGCTGTTCCATGACTGTTCCACTGATATTTGAAGAACCACTCATTGGATTTTGATGAAACTTGGCACATGGATGCTCTGATCTAATGCGCAGATTTCATTAGTTTTGGGTAAAAATCTGTTTATATTAATTACCTAATTTGCATAATGATTAATCAATTTTCGGCTTTTCCACTGATATCTCAAGTACTAATCATAACATTTCAATAAAACTTGGTACATAGATGTCATATGAGACTGCACAGACTTGATAGTTTTTAGGGTAATATCAGTACAGTATCAGTACACCTAATTTGCATAATTAATTAATTTTCAGCTATTGATATGTCAAGTAGTAATGAACACATTTCAATGAAACATGGTACATAGTTACTTGAGGACTGTGCAGAGACCTAATTAGTTTTTGGAGAAATATTTGTGCATATTAATCACCTTATTAGCATAATTAGTTAATTTTCAGCCCTTCACCTGATATCTCAAGTACTAATCGTCACATTTCAATGAGACTTGCGACATAGATCTTCTAGGACTATGCAGAGACCTGATTAACTTTAGGATAAATTATTGTGCATATTAACTACTAATTTGCTTAATTAGTTAATTTGTCCTAAGAACCACTTTTAATGAAACTTTTAAAGAGTACTCATCACATCTCAATGAACCTACATGTGTAGCACTATACACCATATTAGTTTTGGTAAATATTTATGCTTCTTAATCACCTAATTAACATAATTAATTAATTAATACTGATATCTCAAGTATTGATCATCACTTGAATAAAACTTGGTACATAAATGCTCTAGGACAATAGACAGCCTGATTAATTTTGCGTTAAAATCTGTTCATATTAATTCTCTTAATTAGCACAATAATTAATAATTTTTTGGTTCTACTCACATTTCAATGAAACTTGGTACATAGATATTACATTACGCAGATCTTATTACTTTTACATTGCGCAGACCTTATTAGTTTTACACTTAAATGTGTTCATATTAGTTACCTTATTTGCATAATTAGTTTTCTGCATTTCCATCAATATCTCAAGTTCAAGTAATTTTGAATTAATTTTTAATGTGTCTCCAATACTCTCAGCACACGGGAGTTCTTTCTAAGCTTTTTTTGATTTCACATTATTTTCAAACCAATTCAAGTTTATATAGAAGAGATTTAGGTAAATTCCTTGTTTTTTCTCAATCAATAGGAGGAACAAATCAACAGCAGTGCAGCGCCCATTCTACATCATCCCAAGTGATTAAAAATGGCAATTGTTTGATATGTCTGGACAGGGCAGTCGATAGTGTGCTCTATCAATGTGGTCACATGTGTGTGTGTACAACATGTGGCTTGAATCTCCAAGGTCAAGGGTTACATTGTCCAATATGCCGGGCACCAATCCGTGATGTCATAAGAGCTTATAAATGTGTGGCTGAGCCAGATAATGATGAAGACAGTTCAGATCCAGGAAATGAATAAATTATTGAACACTAGGTTTACATGCACATAATAAAGACAGTGCAGATCTCCAAATGGAGGCACTTGGAAAGGGGGGGGGGGTTGTCATCCTATAGTTGGTGGGCAATAACAAAACAAACAAATGAAAGTTGTTGTCTCATTTTCAATGGAACTGGGTACTTAGAAATTTATTTTTTATGTCAAATTTAGAATACTATCTTTTTGTATGGTTTTTGTTCTAGATGTCACTTACATACAGATTATAAATTAACATATGCAATTTTTATCATAATCCAGTATTTTACTGTAAGCATTGATGAACTTGGATTAAAGATATTTAGAAATTAATATTGAAGAGGTTTTTATTTATTTCCATTTGCAGTAGTTTATACAAAATACCAATATTGGTTGGATTACAGGGCTGGGCTGGGCTGGGCTTGATATAAATGATTCACTAATTAATGAAATCGTATATGGTGGCTGAATAAGATATATAGTTTTGTTTATAGTAATATAGCAGGAATATAACCATGTCAGAAATATGATTTTTTAACATTAAAATGATTGATATTTGTATCTGATCATCAAACAAGTACTTGTCCACATTGAGAGATACGGTATTGCTCTGGAACAGCATTCAAAATCAGCCATTTTGAATACATGTATATATATAACATGACGTATAACAAATATATCAAATTTGAATATAATCAGTCAAAGCATTTACGAGATATGGCTCTAGAAGCCCAATCATTAAAACAAAATGGCCGCCAGTCAGCCATTTTGAATACAATCTGAAAAATAAAATGACCTGCATCAGGAACCCGTAATGTCAATGTATGTACCAAGTTTGAATGAAATTCATCCATAAATGCTTGATATTTGATGATTTTTAGCACACAAATGACTACCATTCGGCCATTTTGAATAGGATCGTCAAACCAATATATCAGTTTATATATAACATGATGTATAACGAATATATCAAATTTGAATTATAATCAGTCAAAGCATTTAATGATTGGGCTTCTAGAGCCATATCTCTTAAATGCTTTAACTGTCGGCCATTTTGAATCCAATCTGAAAAATAAAATGACCTGCATCAGGAACCCGTAATGTCAATGTATGTACCAAGTTTGAATGAAATCCATCCATAAATGCCAGAATTGCTTGATATTTGATGATTTTTAGCACAAAAATGACCACCATTCGGCCATTTTGAATAGGATCGTCAAACCAATATATCTGTTTATATATAACATGATGTATAACGAATATATCAAATTTGAATTATAATCAGTCAAAGCATTTAATGATTGGGCTTCTAGAGCCATATCTCTTAAATGCTTTAACTGTCGGCCATTTTGAATCCAATCTGAAAAATAAAATTACGTGCATCAGGAACCTGTAATGTCAATGTATGTACCAAGTTTGAATGAAATCCATCCATAAATGCCAGAATTGCTTGATATTTGATGATTTTTAGCACAAAAATGACCACCATTCGGCCATTTTGAATAGGATCGTCAAACCAATATATCTGTTTATCTATGACATGTATAATCAATATTTAAAATTTGAACATAATCAGTCAAAGCAAGTCAGAGATATGGCACTAGAACCACATTCATTAAAACAAAATGGCCGCCAGTTGGCCATTTTTAATCTTATCCGAAAAACCAAATTATGTTCATCAAGCTCCTAACGTATATACCAATTTTGAATCAGATCGTAAAACAAAATGATGTGCATCAAGGTCCTATAATGTCCAACTTATATACAAGGTTTGAACAAAATCCATCTGTAAACAGCCGGGAAATGCTTGATTTTGATGATTTTTTAGCACAAAAATAGCTATCATTCGGCTATTTTTAATAGGATCGTCAAACCAATATATCTGTATATCTATGATATGATCTTAATGAATAGTTAAAATTTGAACATAATCAGTCAAAGCAAGTCAGAGATATGGCACTAGAAACACATTCATTAAAACAAAATGGCCGCCAGTTGGCCATTTTTTAACTTATCTGAAAAACAAAATGATGTGATTTTGATGATTTTTAGCACAAAAATGGCCGCCATTCGGCCGTCTTGAATCAGATCGTGAAACAAATTGACGTGCATATGTATAATATCATGTATGATGTATGTGTGAAGTTTGATTGTGATTGGTCCTGGCATTTCTAAGATACAGTACGGACACACCAAGGTCAAAACATACATTGTAAGTCCCCGTTTTCGGACTGCGTTCGAACGGAGACTAAAAACAAATAGTAACTTTGGGCCCACACTGAAGCACAGTATAATGAGATGTATTTGGTGCAAAGGTATTTTACAATCAGTTTTCATGGCAATTGTGGGCCAGGAATATTTTCCAGAAATTAGCACCTAAGTGCGAACAAAATCGGCCCGGGCCAAAAAAAAATCACAGAAGATGCCATACACACAAGGATCGCAAACACTGTCATTTTTATTCTTAAAAATATTTAAATATATTCTTATTAAAAATCAAAACAGACTTTCCAAAATATTGCACAAGCACATTATTTGATGAAACAATTTTTGCTAACCACAAATAAATGAAAAATTAAATCAACCAATCATAGGCAGCTGTTAAAAAAATACATGCTTGTAGTGGACCAATCAAAATATGTGTTCTGTTTTCACTCTGAATTGAGGCAAAGATAATGGGGAGTAACACTGACAAGTTCTTCATATTCCATTTTTGTTTATAACAACTTTGTAAAATGTTTTGGATCAATGATGAAAACTTTACTTCGTCTTTTCTTTTCACCTTTAATAATTTCAAATATCTGATGAGAAAAACAAATATATTGAAATTATTGATGGAAATTCTTTAAAAGCCCACAAGTTTATTTTCATTTATTTATTTTTAGTTAAATGTTTGTTTGTTTTTTCTGCAAACACAGAATCCTAGATCTGATTAACTCCAGTAACTCTAATTCCTGTTTGATCACATTCTTTGTGCATTCTTTGATCAATCACAGATAACCTTTCAAATGTGATACAAGCAGTTTGATAGAATAGCAGTTTTGTGAGCATCAAACAAGATTTTTTATTAGTTAACATGATCTACCAGCAAACAAAAAAATGCATAGATCTTATTTTTACGATTGGTTCATTTTTGTGCCACATGACATTTCATACCCATTGATATCATTGTCACTCATTTTTTGCTCAAGAAGCCATACTACTACATGTATGGGGCTATGTGACAATCTTTTTCTCATAATGGCAAATTATTGCACCAACAAGGACTGGTCAGGCACCTTCCCAAAGTTGTATCTGTTAGTTGGTGGCCAGTGGCTTCTTCACTGATTCTGCGGCACACTCACTCAGGGTATAGTGGTTTTGGTCTCTCCAGTAAGCCTGTGGCACACTCACTGAGGGTACAGTGCATTTGGCCTCTTCATCGAGTATGTGGCACACTCGCGCAGGGTAAAGTGACTTTGGTTTCTTCAGTGAGTCTGTGACATATTTCTGTATGGTACACTGGCTTTGATTTCCCTGTTGAGTCTGTGGCACACTATGATTCAGATCAGCAATGCATGGAGCACATAATTTCTACATGATGTCAAATGAATCTACTTACCTGTACAGTATTTTCACCAATTTCAAATCTATATGGAGTTTTCTTACTTTTAGTTCTGATCACTACGCCACACAAGCTAAATTCTTTACCAGAATTCTGCAATTAAAAGACACGACTTGTATGTCATATATCTCTGAATGTGACTTGACTGAAGGCCATGTTTGATACTGAATACTGTTAACTTTTAATTCTGAAAATGCACAGAAAAAAACATTGTAATCCGTTTGAAGATGTATATTCTCATGAGACAACAGTACTGTAAACTTCTAGCTGCACCAACTAACTATTTTTAGATACATACTTCAAGGCTAAGTTGATTTGCTTAATGTTGCAACATGATAGTTATCACCAGAGGGTGCTTTTTACTTTTCACATCCCACTATGAATACAAGACATGCATTACACAGTTCCTGTTATATATCAAATTTAAGATTTATAGTTTGAACATAAACATGTCAGAGATATTGATTCAGAAGCTGATGCTTGATAATGATAATTTTTTAACATTAAAATGATTTTGTATCTGATCGTCAAACGAGTACTTGTCTATGACCCTTCCATATTAAGAGATTTTGCTTTGGAACATTAATTAAAACAAAATAATTTGAATCGGATCATCAAACCAATATATCTGTATATCTACGACGTGATGGATAATATATAAAATTGAACATATTCAGTCAAAGCATGTTAGAGATGGCTCTAGAACCACATTCATAAAAACAAAATGGCCGCCAGTCAGCCATTTTGAATTCAATTTTGACACAAATTATCAAATATATATAAACAAGCAGCCTCTCGGCTGAGATAGCTCCGCTGTTAGCAATGCACATTTCAATTAAAGAACAGAAGATATCATTAGAAAATGAACAATATGCATAGTATCAATGCAATGGGACTTCAAGAATTCAAAAATATCATTTTTCACCATAAATGCTTGTGGTTTTTAACAAGAAGAAAATATCACTTTTTACCAAAAATGACAAAAATATTCACCAAAATTAGAGAATTAAAGATATCATTACAAAATGAATAAATCTGAGAGAGGTCCACATGTAGTACCTATATATGTAATATCAAAGCAATTGGACTTGTGGTTTTTAACAAGAAGTCGAAAATATCACTTTTTACCAAAATGACAAAAATATTCACCAAAATTAGAGAATTAAAGATATCATTACAAAATGAACAAATCTGAGAGAGGTCCACATGTAGTACCTATATATGTAATATCAAAGCAATTGGACTTGCGGTTTTTAACAAGAAGTTGAAAATATCACTTTTTACCAAAAATGACAAAATCATTCATTAAAATTAGAGAACTAAAGATATCATTACAAAATGAACAAATCTGAGAGAGATCCACATGTAGTACCTATATATGTAATACCAAAGCAATTGGATTTGTGGTTTTTAACAAAAAGTTGAAAATATCACTTTTTACCAAAAATGACAAAAATATTCATTAAAATTAGAGAACTAAAGATATCATTACAAAATGAACAAATCTGAGAGAGGTCCACATGTAGTACATATATATGTAATATCAAAGCAATTGGACTTGCGGTTTTTAACAAGAAGTTGAAAATATCACTTTTTACCAAAAATGACAAAATCATTCATTAAAATTAGAG